CAGAGCAAAACAAACACACTCCATTCACTTCCCCTGTAAACCACCTGGCCTCTCCATCATCACTCGGCCAAAAGCCTGCTTTCTGGGGGTGGGACACATACAGGCACTCCTCTGCTCACAGTAGAATAAATACCTTATATTGCCAGGGTTGAAATTTTGAAACAACTTGGTCTGATCTAAGCTTAATACACAAAAGTGTCTGCTACAAAGTGTTACCTGTCAACAACCACAATAACACACGGGCGAACAATACATACAAACTCAAAGTAAACCACTCCAAACTTGATTGTAGAAAATACGACTTCAGCAACAGAGTGGTCAATGCTTGGAACTCACAATCTGACTCTGTTGTTACATCCTCAAACAAACCCCCAAAACTTTAACCTTAAACTGTCTACCATGGACCTCACCCTAGTCCTAAGAGGCCTATAAGGAGGTGTGCATAAACGCACCCGCGTGCTTACTGTCCCTGTCCTGATGTTCCCATTTATTCATACTCACTTATTATGTATATACTTCTATTTGTTTATACTTATATGTTTATATGTGTCAGGCTACAGAACTTTTCCCATTCACTCAACTAGAATGCACTTCTGAAAACGTATCCAAACGTATCACAAAGGAATTCTTTATTGAGATGAGACAATTCCTGTAGGAGTTCAAAGCATCGTCTGAGGCCTCTCAGGCATACAGGGATACATAAGGGAGTTTAGAACCCCTCCCCTTATCTCCATGTGTATTTAGTGAAACAAAAGCCAGTATGTTAATTCCTCCCCACCCCTCTTGTAAGGAACTATCTTTTTCAGTTTCCCAGGGCATACCTAATTTCCCCCCACCCCCTTTTCAGAACGAACTATTCGAGAGATTCCCAAAATACAATCTCACTGTGGAATTTTTATGACCTTCTTATCTCCTGGTTGTGCCTCTCAGAGGTGATAGTTCTGGCCATCTGGCTTTTCTCCCTCCATCGTATCATGTGTGGGTTATACAAATTCAATATAAGATTAAATATATTCAGGTTACTTCAAGAAATGATTTCTTTATCAGTCTCCCCCCACCCATTTTCTTCTTTCACTGAAGAAATGACAGATACACGGATCTGACATCACGTTATGTTCATACTTGTTTTCTCATACATGCTTGACAAACAAAATACATAAATAAATATTGTCAACAATGATAGCGTAAGATATCCCCATTTTGAACTGATAGCGGTAAAGCTGAAAGTTTACTCTACTCTCTGGCCATCTGAAAAGTCAGATCCAACTTGGAACCAAACCAAACCAAACCAAACACAACAATTCTGGGCTTTGCATCCTATTTTTTTTTTGTCCTTAATTTTTTAAATTCCCTTTTTTCCCCCTCCGGATTTATCAACCAGAGAACCGGACAGTGAAACGTTCTGACTATCTTTTGACTTTTCAGACCAAGATTATATAGTTTATGGTACAATTTCTGACCCGCAACCATTGCTGTTACCTCTGAATGTTCGCAGGAGAGTTGTGTAGGGGACGAATGAGCATCGTGATATCACGATGTGAGCTTCACATTTTCTGCACTTGTGTCTCGATTTACAGACATGTAAGTGACAGAATTTGCAGGATGACCCTGGTTTGGTCATTTCGATAAGATAGATAGATAGATAGATAGATAGATAGATAGATAGATAGATAGATAGATAGATAGATAGATAGAT